TTTTTATTTTTTGCCATCCCATTACGTATAGTCAGCTGCCAACAAATCAATCACATATTATTATAAGAAATGTCTCTAGTAGAGTATTGATGGTTAGATTGAGATAAAGGGAGTAGAGTAAGCAATATTGTAGTAGTTTTTATAGACTTAATACTAGAAAATTACCTATAATTCTCAAAAAATGTTTTGTGTGACAAGGAACAGCATAACTTGGGTCCAGATGCTAACAGTGCAGGGTCAGGGTCGAATCTAAATGTTTTCAAATTCTGCCTGCTTTACTTACTTACGCGGTGTGAATCTTGAGCAAGTTACTTTATCTCTATGTTCCTGCTTCCTTGTCTATAAAGTGAGGATTGTAACAGCTACCTCTGTTATAATGAAGTTTAAATGAATTTAAATGCAAAGCACTTAAACAGTGCTTAGCATGTAGTCAATGTAAAGTAAATGCTAGCTATCATTATTTTTCATGGGAAAATTATTTTGACAGAAGAAGAAAAAATAATTAAAGGAGATATATTAATGTTCTTCAACTTTTATGGAGGTGGGTGGGGGCAGATAATCATAAGCCCCTGTAAGAATCTTATAACTATTTGCTTCCAATAAAAATGCATATACACAAACTACTTTACAAACAATGTTACGGAATTTAAAAGTTACCTGAAGCTGCTCTATTTAGAATTTCAGAGTTAGAGAATAAATGAGACAGATTCATTTAAGAAGTGAGAAAAGATAAGGGAACTATGTAGGTTACTATTATTAGTCCTAATATGGTAGTAGAAATAGCGCTAGCTTAAGATATTTAACTAAATTAGGAAGTCTAATAGATTACTGTGGAGAACAAGCTTGCTGTGTTAGAACATCTACTAGTTACCATTCTTATTTCCTATGCTTAACAAAATGTTTGATTAAAAAACGAACTGCTAAGCTTGAGAGTCTCCAGACTTTTAGAAATAACTGAATTTAGCAGGACAGCTGAATGTCTAAGATTAATGTTCCAAAATTCCAGTTAAGTTTCTACATTTTAGCAACACATAGAAAACATAATTCTTAAATGATTCCATTTATAATAGAAGTAAAAAAAGCTATGGGAAACATAGAAGCATTTTTGGGGGTGGGGGAAGGTTGGGGTGCTACCTATTACTTCCACGACTCAAAATAGTACTGGATGTGCACTACGACAACAGAGAAATAAAGACATAAAAAGGGACATACAGTTTTCAGATTATATGATAATTATATAGAATACCTAAAAGAATAAAAAGGCAAATTATTAGAACTAATAAAAAACTTTGGCAAGGGGCCAGTCACAAGACTACACAAAAATCAGTGGTATTCTTACATACCAGTAAAAAGTAATCAGATAATGTAACAGAAGATATCATTTAAACAGAAATCGCAACCATAAAGCTGCTAGGATGAGCTTTATAAAAAATGCTCCAGACTTAGACAATTAAAAATTTCTGTTAAAAGTGTTGTAATCCCAGCACTTTGGGAGCTGAGATGGGCAGGTCACTTGAGGTCAAGAATTTGAGACCAGCCTGCCTGACCAACATGGTGAAACCCTGTCTCCACTAAAAAGGTAGAACATTAGCTGGGTGTGGTGGTACACGCCTATAATCTCAGCTACTTGGGAGGCTGGGGCACAAGAATCGCTTGAACCCAGGAGGCAGAGGTTGAAACAAGCTGAGATCGTGCCACTGCACTCCAGCCTGGGCAACAGAGTGAGACTGTTTCCAAAAAAATAAGTATTAAAAGACCTGACTAAATGAAGATACAAACCATGTTCAATGTCTTAAAATTGTAACTTCAAGATAATTCTAATCTAACATCTTGTAGAATTTGGGAAGTAACTTGACAAACTGATTAAAAAACATATGTAAGAATAAAAACTCATACACAGCAAAAAGAAAAAAAATTAGTCAAGAATAAATGGATATTCACACTATCAGATATAATGCCTATGATAAAACCACAGTAATTAAAACAGACTGCTACTAGTTTACAGAAGCAAATAGCTCAATAGTATACAATAAATAATCCAGAAACATAAAAATTTGATACCATGAGAAATCAGTCCAAAAAGTCAGATTATTATATTAATTTACTCATAAATAATTTGTACATAGTGTTGGAAAAACAGTCTTATCAAAGATAGAAAAAAATTAGAGCTTTACCTCATACCACACCACAAAATAAACTCTAGACTGAATTAAAAATCTAAATGTGAAGATAAAACTATAAAAATAATAGACAAAAATACACAATAAATTTATAATTTCAGGCTGGAAAAGATTTTTTAATTTTTAATTTTTGTGGGTACATAGTAGGTGTATATATTTCTGGGGTATATGATGAAAAAAGATCTTTAAAACAAGATTCTAAAAGTACAAGTCATAAAGAAAAAAGTAATAGTTCTAACAACATTAAACTAAAAAATTTATGTTCCACAAAGGATACTATGACTAAACAAACAAAAGCCAGTGAAAAGCTATCTACTATGCTTAAAAACAGAATGAAGACAATCACAGACACCCACTTATAAAAAATGGCCAGACTAGGAACAGAAAGTATACAGATGGAAATGTAAATGGCTAAGTATGTGAATATATCATCAACTGCATTTATAATGAGAGAAATGCAAATTAATTTAACCAGAAGCATATGCCTTGTACTCAACTGACTGCCAAACATTACACACCAGCTAAGAAGAAGTACTGGCAAGTATATGGGGGAAAACAAGAATCCTCTTGCATTGCAAATGGGAATATAAACCATGAGCAGCCATTTAGAAAAACAAATAAGCAGAATGTACCCTATGGCTCCCACAATCCCATAGCTGGTACAGGGCCTAGAGAAACATTGTATTAAAGAAATATTTATATTAAAATATACAAAACATTAGGTTCATAGCAGCAGTTATTTTGCTTCCACAGAAGCAAAGAGTTGGAGGCAGCCTAGATGTTCATCAATGAATAATCAGTAGAATGTGGAATAAAAATATATTGAAATACCACAGCATGAATATGCTGGACAAAGAGATGATTTATGTCCCAGGTAGGACAGTGTGAGACAAGATTTATGTCCCAGACAGGACAGCATGAGATTTCATCATGTTACTCAGAATGGTGTGCAATTTAAAACATATGAATAGTTTCTTTCTGGAATTTTCTGTTTAATATTTTCAAATTGCAGTTAACCATGGGTAACAAAAACCACAGAAAGCAAAATCACATTTAAGGGGGTACTACTATATACACAAACAAAGTAAGATTACACAGATGACAGAAACTAAATAAAAGGAGAATAAATTTCCATCTAAAGCTCTGATCTCACTCTTCTCACTTCAGTTGAACAGGTCCACCTAAGGGATTCAACTGCCCCCTCAACCTGAATATACACAAAGTACTTTCATTCACTTCAGCCCCCACACATCTGCCCTGTACTTCCTCCTTCTATTAACTTTTTCATAAAAGTTCAAGTCTCTCAGGCTCAAGAAACAAGTACAATGTGACTCTTCCTTTTCTCTTGACTCTCACACATTCAACTAGTTGTCAAATCCTATTTTATCTCTGAAATCTATAATCGCTCTCTAGCCTCTTCTATTCCTAACATGTCCTTTCCTAACTGGTCTTTCTGTTCCCATCTCTCAATTCTTCACTCTCCACAATCTGTTTTATACTAGAATGAGGTTTTATTCTGAAACAAAATTTTAGACACAGCATATTTTTGTCTAACATCTTTCAATGGTCCAAATTCCCTCATGTGAAATTCAAGATCCATCAAAACTATATTTTAATCTCTTTCTTTACTATGTCACACCGTTCCTTTTTATGCACCATATTCAGTGTATTTCTTTGTTGGTCTAAGCACATATGTGGTACTCCACTACAGGCATTTCTGTATACTCAAAACACCAGACCAACTTTCAATGCCCCGCTCAAGACCTCCAGGCACTTTCCAACTTATGGGCAAAAAATACTTCCTCATAAAAACAAATGACAAAATAAGCCGTAAGGTAACAAGAACAGAGAGAACCACAGCCAATGGCCTTTAAATGTGAAATAAGCACAGCTCATGAAATAAGCTGATTTTCTTTGGTTAATCTTCTCCATGCTTGAGGATGCTCATATGCCAAAAAAGAAACATACTTTTTTAAAATGTAAATTTTAAAAACTGTGAAAAAAAATCTAATGAATGATTATTTAAAAAAATTTATTCAACATCTTATAACTCTAAAAAGAATGTTTTGTTGACAAATATGCAGGATTTATCTTGAAGCACTCGATAAAAATCAAAGAATTCGAACTATTTAATGTAATGGTAAATTATTTAAGAAAGAGGTAACATAAAACTGCTTAATTGTGATATACTGCAGGATTCAAAGGCCATAAATATGATAAATGTTTAATTCCTATACCAAATTCCCTAGAATTGAATGGCAGATAAGTCAGGATCACATTCCTATAAGCACACTTTGAGTTTACTTACCTTTTGCTTTCCTACCCTGTCACTTTCTTGACTACTCATATTGATCCACAGTTTTATGAAATAGATTAAACCAGCGATAATTCATTCACCCAAGTTTTAATACAACTGGCTACAAACTGAATACTGTTATAAATGCTGTCATATCTTCAAACAATCAGTTTTCTGACCAACATAACTTTTAAAAGAATATTATAAGCAGATGATGTTAGGGATATAAATATCAGTAAGATTGAATCCCATGATCTTATTCATCAAGTACTGGGCATGCATTATCTTGATCTAATCCAAAACTGCTCAAATATCCAACATTAGTAGTAATATGATAAACATGGGTGGATGTTAACAAATACAAATATAACAAAAATAGTAAATATCCTAAATATTTATTCCTTTAAGCTAGACTAACATATATTCATATGACAGTTACATATGTACTATCATAACAGTATACTCAAAAAATAAAATAGCTTAGTATAAAAACAAGGCTCCCTATTGCATATCCCAAATTATACCTGGCAGCTAGGTAAATCTTCCCCAAAAAGGTGGTGCTGAAGAAGGCTGGTAATTCTGAGAAAAGGTAAGCAGAAGTCCTGTAAGTATTTTTCCATGAATTCCGGAGACCAAGCAGTGGGGTTAACCTAAAGTTAAAAAAGAAAATATGAACGAGTCAGTCTATAATCAATAAAGTCTTTAAAAATTACATTCGTAATGGCAAAATTTTAAATTTTTTTTACTAAATAACCGCTATATCTGATTTTAGCAAAAGCATACCATTGCACACTCCTGAGTTCCTTCTTCATGGTATAACTTTCCTTTAGATAGTTCACTTATCACAAAGCTCAGTAACACTTCATAAGACTTTTCTGCATCACATGCATTCTGGAGAAAATTAAAATATTAGTTACACTGGTCACTGAAAATTATAAAAAATTTACATTGGAAATAATTTTTAATGAGAAGAGTAAAACTGTGATTATATTACTTTTCAAGCATATGAGCTTCAATTCTTCAAAATTCAGGTAAAATTTTACACCTCTGGATTCACAATGAAACTGGGTAGGTGGTCAAAGCTATTCCAATACTTCTTTAAAAGACAGCAGATAAATTACATAATTAAATGTAAATGAACATATGTAAGTCATATTTTTTGGCCCAGTAATTCCCACCCTTGGGAATTCTTCGTAGAGATATAATCCAAAAGAAAAAAAATAGCTATATGTGCAAGACATCCACTACAGCACTGTTATAGCAATAAACTAGAAATGACCAACGAAAGTGAGGCTGTTACCTAAATAATGGAATGCCAACATAAAAACATTTTCCAAGCAATGAGTATGACAAATTTAAGCTGTACAAAAAAAGTTTACAATGTGAAAAGAGCCAAATTAAAAAATATATAGTTATTATAGCAGTATAACATATGCAAACAATAGAAAAAATATAGACCACAAATTTTTTTCATTTACAATTTCCCTCAAATGTCTTTGAGGATTTATTAAAATAGTATACTATAAAAATAGAATAGGACAATATACTTATTACAGACTATGCAGATAATGACATTAAGTCACAGTCTACAAGTTGATCTTAGTGACTACTTCTATTTTTATAAGAAAGGAAAAATAATGCTTTTTATGAATTCAAATTTATTTCAGATTTATTTATTTCAATAAAATCTTTATGCATGAAATGCACCTCTTTTTATATTCATGGAAATACAAAGTATAACATGCAAATTACCATAAAATGTAAATTGGGATAAAATAATAATTTCTATGATGTCTTTTATTCTACTTATTAACTATACATTTAAAATCCTAATGGCTGGGCATGGTGGCTCATGCCTGTAATCCCAGCACCTTGGGAGGCTGAGGTAGGAGGATCATGAGGTCGAGACCAGCCTGACCAACACAGTGAAACCCTGACTAACATAGTGAAACTCCATCTCTACTAAAAATACAAAAATTAGCTGGGCATAGTGCCTACAGTCTAAGCTACTTGTGAGGTCGAGGCAGGAGAATCACTTGAACCTGGGAGGAAGAGGTTGTGGTGAGCTGAGATCATGCCACTGCACTCCAGCCTGGGCAAGAGAGCAAGACTCCGTCTCGAGAAAAAAAAAAAAAAAAAAAAATCCTAAAATATAGGAAGGGATAAACATCACAAAATTAAGTTTAACCTAAACTTTTAAGGCAAGATAGTTTGGACCACATAATTTATTATTTGATGATACTTGTTTTTTCTATAGTTCCTCATTGTGTCATTCATGTTACTGTGCTCTTTCCAACTAGACTGTAAATTCCAAAATATTGGGAACTATGCTTTTTATTTTCCATGTGTCCCTCTGCATAACAAAAATCTGAGTAAGAAATACCTGCTAATTAACTGATAAGATTTGTTTTACTAATACTGAAGTTATGGAATATTGGACCTTGGAACTTGCTTGGGTGTGCCTCTTTTGATAATCAGTTCTTTGCATTATCTTTAAATTACTCCTGTGCTTTCTGTCATGTTCACTCAGCCATGTAGTATTATGTCCTGACTCTAAAATATACAAATGACTCTGACTCTGCAATGGTTCTCCTTGTATCACGTGACTCACCCCACCCTTACCTAATTAATCAACAGTATGATTATTGGTTAAATATAATTACCTAGAGATTACATATAATTCACAAGAATCAATACCGAATTAAATATCAAAACAGCAATGTATCATGTTTTTAAAACTGATTTAAGTAAATTATCTCTTAAAATAGGCAGAGTTCACCTAAACCCAAACACTATCATAGATTTGTAGAAAACTCAAAATACTACCATAGATCTGCTATTTATTAATCAAGGTGGCATAGTTGAGTTTCTCTAAATATACAATTCAGCCTAAAAGCTTCCTAAATTCAATATACTTTTTTGAGTAAAAGATTCAAAGAGTACAACAGAAAAGTATTTCTGTTCAGATCAACTAAGTAAGTCACTGAGTGATACTAACTTTTAAGTCATTATTATCAAATACTTTCAAGCACTTATTTTACATATGGCAAGTTTTATATCATATCAGAAAGTTAAATATAACATAATGTTCACTGCTTTGTATTGAGAAGCCTTCCCGATACAAAGTATTAAGAAAACATACTTTGTATAGGCAATCTTTGAATAAACGAAAAAGTAGGCTTATGAAGCTTAAAAAAGATGGTTTCTGAGAACACGGATGAAAGACTTAAAATTGAGATAAAAAGAATCCTAAGGGGGAGGTGGCAAAAGTATGCGGGTTAAAGAGTCAAGAGATTCAAGACAGTCTGTGCCGGGTAGAGAACTTTGTCTAAATTATAGTGCTTCTTAAACTTTTTGAAGTGACCGAAACTTTCAGTGTATTTTAGATGCTATGACATCACACCCCAGCAAACAAAACAACAAAATCTATCCAAGGATCCCAGATTAAGAAATTCTAGTAGGCTGGGCGTGGTGGCTCATGCCTGTAATCCCAGCACTTTGGGAGGCCAAAGTAGGAGGATTGCTTGAGGCCTAGAGTTCAAGACCAGCCTGGGCAACACAGCAAGACTTCCTCTCCACAAAAAATGGGAAAGTTAGCCAGGTGTGGTGGTGTGTGCCTGTAGTCCTAGCTACTTCAGAGGCTGAGGTGGGAGGGTTGCTTGAGCCCGGGAGTTTGAGGTTGCAGTGATCCATAATCATGCCACTGCACTCCAACCTGGGCAACAGAATGAGACCCTGTCAAAAAAAAGAAGAAAGAAGGAGGAGGAAGGAAGAAGGAAGAAGAAGAGGAAGAGGAAGAAGAGATGGAAGAAAGGAGGAGGAGGAGAAAAGAAAGAAAAGGAAAAGGAAAAAGAAGGAAGAAAAAAAGAAAAGAAATTCTAGTATAAAGACTCTTAGTAGAAATTCCATTGACCAAAAAAGTATGATTTATATTAACTGTAATAATGACTTTTTCAAAACTAAATCTCATTATCAAATTATCCCCTCAAAAAATATATAATACCTATATTTTTATTACCATAGGCCAGAATAGATCTGGCAAAAATACGTTTTCATTACAATTATTATGCCAAACATAAGCAATTAAAGAGATGAGGCAAATCAGTGAAATTCAATAAAGTAAGGAAGACAAGAAGGAAGAAAAGGGGTGAGATAAGATGTAAATAAGAAAGTGAAAAAAAAATAAGAGGAATCAATGATGCAGAAATCTAAATAGTTACAGAGGTCACAGTGGTATATTTCATCACTCATAAATATGTTGTCTCTCAGTTTCCATGACGAATGGGTTCCAGGAACCCACCTTGGAAACCAAAATCCACAGATGCTTAAATTCCTAACACAAAATAGTGTTTTACAGTATAGTTGTTTGTATTACAAGTATTTACAATCTGTGATGTATCTAAATGTTTATGTCTATTGTAGAAAAAGCTAATAACATGTAGTAAACCTACGGACTATCATAATTTTTAATTTTCTTTCACTAAAGAAAATTATGTACTTATATAGCTATAAATTAATATACTAATATATATTTATATGGCTATAAGCCAATATACTTCTAATTAATGTTCTGATAAGAATCTGTCTCATATAAAGTATTTTATTAAGTGTTTTTTAAAAATAACAATTATGAGGTTAAGAAAAAAACTGGACCAAAAAGTTAACAAAATTACATCATGTTCCTCCCTTCATAGATTTACAATTGTTAATAAATAGAGTTAGATACAAATTGTATCAGCAAATTTCTTAAATGTGTAATTTTAATGATTAGACAGCTTACTAAGGAAGCATATTTAAATGGCACAACACAGAAACCTAATATACCTGATTTGAATACTATTTGAATACTAACAATCCAAATAACAGAGATTGCAGTCAGCAAAATTAAAAGAATATTTAGGAAAAATAGGCTAGGCAAGGTGGCTCATGATTGTAATCACAGCACTTTGGTAGGCCAAGGCAGGCAGATTTCCTTTAGTCCAGGAATTTGAGACCAGCCTGAGCAACATGTTAAAACCCTAGCTCTACCAAAACTACAAAAAAAATCAGCCAGTTGTGGCGGCACACGCCTATAATTCCAACTACTCGGTGAGGCTGAGGGAGAATCCCTTGAGCCCAGGGGGTTGAGGCTGCAGTGAGCCCTGATCATACCACTGCACTCCAGCCTGGGCAATAGAGTAAGATTCTGTCTCAAANAAAAAAAAAAAAAAAAAAAAAAAAAATTAGGAAAAATAAAGATAATTACAAAAAGCAAAACTATCCAAGAATTAACCAGGAACCAGCCGAAAAAAATCTTTCAAAAACACAGAAATTCATTTTGAGAATTTAGAATAACAGAATTGAAATAGAGGGGCCCTTATAAATCACATGGTCCAAACCTTTCATTTACCTTTGAGAAAGCTGAGACTTAGACAAGTTATGCTTTGATTAAAAAAGTAACATCTCTATTTAACGACAGGAGATTGGCCTTGTACTTGGGTTTGATGGCCAACTGACACATAATCCATCATTATCCTTAACCCATAATTAAGATATAGTGAACTTTGTGATGATACCATATTAAATCTACACATAATAATGATTTGAGAATAAACTGATAAGTTTATTGTTATATTGCATACATTTTATGTATTTATTCATTATATAGAATACATTTTATGTATTTATAATTGGTTCTCTCTCCTTTGATACAAGTAGATATGATTTTAACAAAAAAAGTTGTAATGAGTGTTAAAAACCCCTTAAGACTGTGAGTCAATCAAAAGGTTCAATTTATACTACACCTATTATATTTTTCCTACCAACTTCTACAAATAAACACTGAAGCAATTTTCTTTTTTCTAATTCTAAGCTGAACCACTCAGTCAGTTCTTTGGTTCTAAAGCTCTATAGCATCTCATTTGTTCTCAAGCTACTGAAAGTATTTACATTTAAGTAACATAATTTTTCTAAATGGTTTGCATAATTTTGCTTAAACTGAGCTCCTTTGAGTTTGCTAAACTTGTATATATTCTAACATGAAAAAAGGTAGTATTTTCAAGAGGCATAATTAAGAAAAGGCTAGAATTGGCCAGGCATGGTGGCTCACACCTGTAATCCTAGCACTTTGAAAGGCTGAGGCAAGCAGATCATGAGGTCAGGAGTTTGAGACCAGCCTGGTCAACATAGTGAAACCCCATCTCTCCTAAAAACACAAAAATTAGCTGACCATGGTGGCGGGCACCTGCAGTCCCAGCTACTAGGGAGTCTGAGGCAGGAGAATTGCTTGAACCCAGGAGGCGGAGGTTGCAGTGTGCCGAGATTGTGTCACTGCACTCCAGCCTAGGTGGGACTCCGTCTCAAAAACAAAAGAAAAGAAAAAGCTAGGATTTTAAATTTAGAAGTACACATCAAAAGCTATCTTGGATTGTGATTGGGGATAGGGACAAAAAGAAAAAGTGGCAAATAAAATGGGTAAGTCTGTAGATATTTTATCATCTGTTCATTATGTTAGCACAATTTATTTAACTTCTCTAAGTTTAAGGCTTGCAACAAAGGCAAAACAAAACTGCTCAAATATAAAGGGATAAAGGAGGAGGTTTAGAGACAGCTACAGAAGGCCTCATTGTTCTTTAGCCTGTAGGTGCTCAATTTACAATTAAAATACCAGTAACTCATTTTGTCTTTTAAAAACCTACTATTATTCACTCAATATCCCCAGCTTCATTGACTTCACCTACCTGCTAAATGAAAACCTTAGAAAGAGACTAACCTTTTTGAGAGCTCCTTCATGTTTCCAGGATGACCTATCTTCTTCGCTGCATTTAACTGAGAGTGCCACAAGAGCCTGTGTGTACAGTAGGGTAAAAAGTACCTTCACAATGCAGGTAAAGTGATCTGCAAGAGAAAAAAATCATTATTTCTTTGGAATTTAGATATTTTGTACTCAAGACAGTTTTACAAATATATGCCTTTTCTTGCATATGTAACTGGTTTTAGTTTTCAATACTTAATCATTTTTTCGTTTGTTTTTAAGACAAGGTCTCAATCTGTCACCCAGGCAGTGCAGTGCCTGGAGTGCAGTGGCGTGATCACAATTTACTGCAGCCTCGACCTCCCAAGCTCAAGCGATTCTCTCATCTCAGCTCTAATCTGCCCCTCCCAAGTAGCTGGGACTACAGGCATGTCCTACCACGCCCAACTAATTTTTTATTTTTTGTAGAGATTGGGTCTCCCTACGTACCCCAGGCTAGTCTCAAGTCCATTGGGCTCAAGCTATCCTCCCACTGAAGCCTCCCAAAGTGCTGGGATTACAGACCTGACAGCCTGAAATTATAATGTACTATGATATTTGCTGCCCAACGGATCTGGAATTATGAAAGCAAAATTCCTCTATTCATCCAGAGGATATGTAAACCAGGAGCATTTAGCACAGTGGAAAGGGTGCTCTCTTTCAGACCGGAGTGCTAATGCCATTCAAACTTGGAATAGCTGTGAAACCTTGGCAAATGCCCTTACTGGGCTTCAGATGCTCAATAACAATGTTTAGGAGTCACAGTGTTTAAAACCAACACATCATCTACCCCTATAGGATACACATCTTAACAAGGATAATATTATATGGAATATTACATAAATCTTATAAAGTGAAAAAAAAAAAAAAAGAAAAAAATCCCGATATTTAGGTTACTATTTTGGCTTCAGAGTTTAATGAAGACTATAGCAGTAAGACTGGGCAACACAGCAAGACCCCATCTCTACAAAAAATTTTAAAAATAGCTGGGTGTGATGACAAGCACCTGTCATGCTAGCTACTCAGGAGGCTGAGGCAGGAGGATTACTTGAGCTCAGAAGGTCAAGGCTATAGTAATTCAAGATCATTCACCTTAACTCCAGCATGAGCAATGGAGTGTGACCCTGCCTCAAATAAAGACAAAAATAAAAATAAAAAACTATAGCAATACAAAACAGTAGTAACAATATGTAAAGTGCCTGGCAGTTTCTGGCACATATTAGGTACTTAACAAATGGAAGCTTTAATATTGATAATTAACATTTATATTTACCTAATAACTTAGCAACTTTCTTCAAGTGTCTCATTCAATCCTCAAAACAGTCTCAAATGGATAACTGAGCTTCAGAAAGGTGTGCTTGTGATATCAAAGCTAATAAACACCCAGGTCTGAACTTGAATCCATATAAATCATTTTTCTTCAGGTTCAGTGTTCCTTCTGTTATACTATACTCCTCCCCTAGTAAATGGATACTACCATTTAATCAGTTGTTGGAGTACAGAAATTCTTGACAATTTCTCCATTAAAATAATCACCAAGTCCTGTTAATTCTACTTTTTAAATATCTCTCAAGTCAATTTCAACACTCTGGACCAGACTTGCATCCTTTCTTGCCTAGACCTATAATCCCAGCTAAAGTGGCTGTGTTGGGGGTCCCCAAGACCACTGCCAGGTTTGATGATTCACTAGTAGGACTTATAAGACTCAGTACAGAGTCATACTCATAGCTGTTACGACTGGAAAAGGATAAAAGTTAAAATCAGCAAAGGGAAAAGGCACATTGGGTGAAGTCCAGAGGAAAATTCCAGTCTTCTCCCAATAGAACCACACAGTATGTGCCAAACTCCCCCAGCAACAACAAGCTGTGACGGCATGTATGAAATGGATACCAGGGGATCTCATTAGAGACTCAGTGCCCAAGGTTTTTACTGGGGTCATGCAGGTACTCTCTTCCTGGTACATATAAAAATTCCAGACTCTCAAGAGGAAAGCAGGTATGTTCAGCATAAACCACACTCTTTGTACAAACAGTTCAGGCATAGCGTGCCACTCGTATCAATTCTGGGAATAGGAGCTCTCCTGAAACCCAAGTTCCCAGAGGCCAGTCAAGGCCTAACCTTGCAAGAGGCCTTTCAAAGGACAACAGTCAGGCCTTCTATGTCATTCTTTTTCAGCACAGTAGTTTATCTGTATCACCTCTCAGCTCCCTGCAATCTACTTTCCTTATTCTAGCCAGAATGATCTTTTATTTTTCCTCCAGCTTTACTGAGTTATAATTGACAAAAATTATATTATTGAAGGTAGACAATGTAGTTTTGATATAAGCATACATTGTGAAATGATGGCCACAATCAATTAACATATTCATCATCCCATATAGTTACATGTCTGTGTGTATCTGTGCGTGCTGAGAATACGTAAAATCTCTTCCCTTAGTACATTTTAAGTATGCTAGAGAATACTATAGCTACAGTCACCATGTTGTATATTAGATTTCCAGAACTTATTCATCTTATAACTGAAAGTACGTACCCTTTGACCAACAGCTTCCCATTTTCCCCAACTCCCTGTCCCATGTGAACCTCCTACTCTCTATTTTGACTTGTTTAGATTCCACATATAAGCGAGATCATGCAGTAGTTCTCTCTCTGTGACTGGTTTATTTCATTTAGCACAACATCCTATGGGTTCATCCACACTGTCACAAATGGCAAGATTTCCTTCTTTTCTTAAGGCTAAATAATATCCCAGTGTACTTATATGCCACATTTTCTTTATTTATTCATCCACTGACAGACACTTGGGTTGTTTCCATATCTTGGCTATTGTGATGAAAGCTGCAATGAACATGGGACTGGAGTGCAGATATCTCTTTGAGATACTTCTTTTACTTCTTTAGGATATACACCCATAAGTGGGACTACCGAATCACACAGTAGTTCTATTTCAGTTTTTTGAGGAACCTCCATACAGTTTCAGGATGCCCAGAACAAAGGAAGAACAATGAGTCAACCATCAGAATAAGTCAAGTTAGAGAAATATTTAGATGACAGAAATTATAGGATTTGGTGGACCTTTGGAGGTAGAGGGTGACGGTGGCATCTCATAGATGGTAGCAGCATTGACTAAAAAGTAGAAGAGAGGATGAGAGCAGACGTGAATAGAAGGAATATTAACATTATATATACTGAGTTTGAGGCATGTCTAAAAATTCAAGTCCAGAACTCACTGGAGAGTTGCAGTCTAAAGCTAGAGATTTGAGCATCATCAGATAATAGGTGTAAAGTTATGGGAAAGAAGATAAAACTGTTAAGGAAAACGACGGGAATTGAAGAACAATTCAAAGAATGGTAAGAGAAAGAAGAAATTTAAAAAGAGCCTGAAAATGGGTACAAAAAGAGATAAAAGAACCAGGAAAGGATGGTGCCATCAAAGTAAAGTATTTCCATCATTTAATTACATATTTTAATAAGTGACAGACATGACAGAATTTGTCTATTATGCACAAACAAAAAAATCCTAACCAGAGAGTCATTAATATTGTGTAAAAACATCACTCATGTATAGCTTCTTCTTAAACTATACACATATATATTTTTCTTTTACTAAAAAGAAGTAATGTGGCCGGGCACAGTGGGTCACGCCTGTAATCCCAGCACTTTGCGAGCTGAAGTAGGTGGATCACTGGAGGTCAGGAGCTCGAGACCAGCCTGGCCAACATGGTGAAACCTCATCTCAACTAAAAACACAAAAAAACTAGCTAGGCATGGTGGTAGGTACCTGTAATCCTAGCTATTCAGAAGACTGAGGCAGGAAAATCGCTTGAACCCAGGAGGTAGAGGTTGCAGTCGGCCAAGATGGTACCATTGTACTCTAGCTTGGGCAACATGAGTGAAAAAAAACCTTTCAAAAGTAGTTATGGAAAGGAGATAAATAGCTTTACAGCAGAGAAATCTTATTCAGGTGTTAGAACTTAAACAGTTAAAAAAAAAAAAAAAATATACAAAACAATAGAATACACTATAAAAAGCAAAATAAAATAATAAAATAGAAATAATGTACTAAAAGAAACAATAGCCACTATAGTTTTAGCTTTTCATTGCAGAAAAGTACTAATTTCTGGTTTTAGTTCATTTTTCTGTCTTGATTATCATCATTTAAAAAAATACAGTCAGCTCTTTGTACCTGTAGGTTCCTTATCCATGGCTTCAACCAATCATAGATCAAAAGTATTTGGAAGAAAAGAAAATGGGTGGTTGTGTCTGTACTGAATATACACAGACTTTTTCCTCTTCTCATTATGCCCTACACAATACTGTATAGTATAACAACTATTTATATAACATTTACATTGTATTAGGTATTCTAAGTAATCAAGAGAAGATTTAAAGTATATGAGAAGATATGTGTAGGTTATATGCAAATACTACACCATATTATGAAACGGACTTGAGCACCTGTGGATTTCGGTATTGGCAGGGGGTCCTGGAACCAGTCTCCCATGGACATCAATAGATGATTGTTTGTTAACTGGCAATTTAAAGTCAAAGCTTAAGCGTTAAGTTCTCACATTCACTTGTTCATTTAACAAATATTTATTTATTGAATGCTTGCCATGTGTAAGACTGACATCTTTTAGGAACCTAGAAAAACAAGGAATCTCTCACATGAGGTTTATATTAGGCCAACAGGCTGCTAACTACCAACATTAAAACAGAAAACAAAGACCTTTAAATACAATTATCAAATCTTAAAAAGAAGAAAAAAGGATTAGACATCTACTCTAAGTCAATGTGTTTAAAAACAACAACAACAAAACACTATCAAAATACCTGAGGTTGAACAAAGGAACATCAATACTTACTTGAAATGCCTTAGAAGTAAATTATCTGTAGTTTCTTTTAAAACAAGGTAGAGTATATCTAAAATAACAAAATCCCCAGGGGAAGAGCACACAAGTAAACAGGACATGATCTGAAGAAGGTATTAGACATTTTATTCTGTTCCTATCACCATTAAAATGTTTTGTAAAAATATATACTATTCCACTGCTTCCATAAAGCACTTTGCATATATCACATGCAGACATCAAATCGTCTTAGT